CACACACACACACACTCATACCAATCATAGACAAATCTGTTTAAAAAGGAATATAGAAATACTGTGCTTAATATTCTGAACAGAAATAAATGTCATGGCTTTTGCTGGCGGGGATACAATGATAAAGAGCAGGAACAGAATGATCAGAAAAGACAATTTGAAACATTCAGTCTGTTACTTTAGTGCCAACTGTAACTAAAATTAAACTGTTCAATATCGTTTGTGACCGCGGGGAGCTCATCAATAACCTAGTGGAGACAACAACTGACTGATCTTTAAATATGTGATACATAATTAAATAATCAGATTCATTGACAAAGTTACTCATTAGCCTGCTGAAATCAGTAAATTGCTGTGTTATGTAGACAATGGTTAGACAGATTGGTTTCCTGTGTGTTGATACTAGCCTCTAATGACCTTTATCAATGCTGAGAGCAATCTGAGGGAGCCATGTCTGGGATTAGTCAAATTTAAAGTGGAAACATTTGGGGCCTCCTAGAACTGTTTCTTAAAAATATCAAAGACAGAGAAGCATCCTGCGGATATTATCGAGACTGATGCTGTGATAAGGCCATGGACTCGGGATGTTAGCATGGATTGGCTATGCTAGCTTTCGATTGCATGTGTGGAAGCATTCAGCAAGCCACAGATGTCATGTACTACTCAGGAAACATAAATCACAAACCAAACTCACTACAAATATACTGAGGATGGTCAAAAAAACCTTGAATAGAGGGGGAGAGAGGGAAACAATCCTATGAGGCCAGTACACAGAAAGAGATCTACTTAATATGCTATCGCTATCTCTCTCTCTCTCTCAATATATATATATATATTACTGTATATGTACAGTAGCTATATGTGCATTTGTGTATGTAATGGTAAATGGAAACATGCACATTAATCTCATTCCTTTGACATTCAGGGGGCGTTATTTCACTTATAGTTTAAAGTCTTTTTTTACTCCTTTGACTAAAATGGGTGTATGTTGGTTCTGAATCCAACATACAGTACCTAGTACATACATCTAACCTTTATTTAACTAGGGGTTATTTCACGGAGCATAAATGCTGTTTTCCAGGAACGCCCTGGTCCACAGTCACACCTGGAAGCTGCCCAGTACAACCACAGTTAACCTCAGTTCACCAGTGGAGCAGCTGAGCAGCCTTGTTAAAGGGCAGCTCAGCAGTGATAATAAGGGATGTGCAAGTGCGGCTCTTTCACCTTTAGCTGCCACATTTATCGCACCAGCCGTGAGACTGAACCGGTGACCTTCCCGTCACCCATGTGCTTTTTCATTTCTGTGTACTGTCAAGAGGAACTGTACACAGAAACTGTATTTGTTGTGAGTTTGGTTTGTCATTTATGCTTTGTGTTCTCTGAAGAGAAGAAAGAGCAAATTCTCTGAAATGTGTCGCGGCAAAGTTCATTCAAGGATGTATCAGCTCTCTTTCAACTGTGTGTGTGATAATATTTCCAAGGACTGAATGCCCACTTAGTGATCTGATACAGAAAACTCAGTATGACTGACGTGCCGGCATTTCTTCGAGGCACTAATGAAAGAATCAGTTTTGAGCAATCCTGTTTTATTCACTGGGAGTAAAACATATGGTTGATCCTTTTGCTGGTGTCATGGCCTAAAGGAGTGAAAAATCAGCAACCCAAACAGCATATGTGCTTTCCCTTCACGATAATCTTTCTGAATCTGACACAAAAATGTCAGAAAAATCAGGACGGACCCTCAAACCGCTCAGCTACTACCCAGCCTCAAAACAACACAAATGCTTAAACAAGCAGTGAAATCCGCACGTCACCACGTTATGTATACATGTTAGGGTGCCACTTATGCAATCATATACACATACAGCACTACACGCTATCTCCACCCCGATCTCCTCCGACTGTGATTATTACAGACATCAATAGCATGATGTTGTGGAGAGTGTTGCTATTTTCCCTCGTCGTCCTTCAGTGTTTGTGTAATGCAGCTCAGACTTTTCCGGTTATTGTGCGAGAGCGACCGAAAGAGAGAGGGGGGTTGATGGGTGGGTGGGGTGGGGTGAGTGGCTGGAGTCTGACAGAGCGGGCAGCCAGAATATCTGGGACACACACGCACGCACAAATACACACAAGAACAGACTGGCAGTGGCAGACAATCTGTTGGTGGTGGATCAGTGTGAGCAAGAAGAGGACTCACTGTCTCACTAAATACACTGATATGCAAACATATATGAACACATATATGAACACAAATGCATGGACACACACAGTCTGCTGGGGGTAATTGTATGAATCAATCTTTTCCGCCTTGATTATGAGAAGTACAACGGATGCGGTGAGGCAGTTGGACTGGGGTTGGAAAGGGTGACGAGTTAAGTGGGAAGGACTGACTACGCAGTATGTGACAATGAAATACTGTAGACACTGAGGAGTTAGACAGCTAGACGTAAAGAAGAAAAAGATAAGAGTGGATGAAGATGAGATGATGAGAAGCCGGTGAGAAAAAGGGGGGTTGTGGCCTGGGATAAGTCTAATCCACACTATCCAGGTCACTTCGGTCTTTCACCTCCACACAAACACACACATACACTTGCAGACAAGCTCATACAGTAGACTGGATCCAGCCAACGATACTCTGGATTCCCCTTTAACCAACTGACAGTGAGACTGGAGGATAGGATGGGAGGAAGAGGGAGGAAAGAGAAGGGGAGGTGAAAGGACAAAAGGTTCTGACCTAATGTTGTGCCAGAGAAGAGAGGAAAAGAGCTGGGGAGAAGAAACACTGGGAGATGAAGGCAGGAAGAGGGGGAGGAGGGAGAAGGGAGGGGGTGCCAGAGACCCAAAATAGAGAGACAGAGAGAAAGAGGAAGGGAAGAACGAGGCCTTGAGCAGGGGAAGGGAAGAGGCAAGCTAACCCGAGACAGAGACGTCGAGGAGAGAGAAAAAAAAGAGAAGAGCAGCAGCAGCGTCAACACACGTCATTCTCCCTTTCTCTCTCAAGGAAAAACGCTCCACTCCTCCCATCTCTCTCTGTCTCTCCCTCTCATCTCCTGTCTCGTTCCGTTGCTCCTTAAAAGACGAGGAGGGAAACAAGACGTGAGAGTAGAGAGATCACAGGGAGGGGGCGGGCGGGGGCGAGAGGCTGGATGAGGGTAAGGTGTCGGAGAGAGAATAGAAGGGACGAGGAAGAGCAGCCAGTCAAAGAGAGGTCGCAGAAAGAGGGTGAGAGGCTGAAGAAGAAGGGAGGGAGAAGGGTCATAGGGAGAGAGGGATGACAGAGAGAGAGAGAGAG